CCTACCTCTGCTCCAGTCGCTGCGTCGTGCTCCTGCCGGTCGCTTGCCCACCCCACCGTTCTGTGGCACCACCGGATGGGGCACCCGTCCCGTCCTCGTCTGCGCGCTATGTCTAGTCAGCGTCTTGTCCTAGGCCTCCCACGTGTCTTGCCGTCGCTGCCGCCTTCGCTTGCGCCGCCGTGTGGTCCCTGCGTCGAGGGTCGGCTGCGCGCCGCCCCTCACTCCTCCTCCCTTCGTCCGGCCACCGAGCCTTTTGAGACGCTTCACTTGGACGTCTGGGGCCCCGCCCCTCGTCTAGGCCCTGAGCGTGAGCGCTACTTTCTGGTGGTCGTTGACGACTTCTCCCGCTACACCACAGTGTACCCTCTGGCGAAGAAGTCTGAGGTGACTTCTACGCTGATCAGGTGGTTGCTCACCACCGAGGACACTCGTGGTCGTCGTGTCAGCTGCCTCCACTCCGACCGTGGGGGTGAGTTTCGCTCCGGCATTCTCGGTGGATTCTGTCGCGAGCAGGGCATTCGTCAGTCCTGGACGCTTCCAGAGTCCCCACAGCAGAATGGGGTTGCTGAGCGCCGCATAGGCCTGGTCATGGAGATCGCCCGCACCTCCCTGACTCACGCCTGTGCCCCCCATTTTCTGTGGCCCTACGCGGTCAGGTACGCCGCGCACCAGCTGAACCTCTGGCCACGTGTCTCTCGACCAGAGGTTTCACCGACCAGTCTTTGGACAGGGTCCCCTGGTGTTGCGTCGCGGTTTCGTGTCTGGGGGTGCTTGGCTCTTGTCCGCGACACCTCCGCGGACAAGCTCTTGCCTCGTGCCGTCCCCTGTGTCTTCCTTGGTTTCCCTGAGGACTCCTCTGACTTCACCTTTTACCACCCTCCCTCTCACCGGTTCTTTGACTCCCGTGACGTCCGTTTCGAGGAGTCCACTCCGTACTACGTCAGGTACCCCAGTCGAGGTCTCCAGGTTCCTCCTCCCCCCCTCTTCCTAACTGCCGCTCCCCCTCCTGTTCCCCCGGTACAGCCTCCCCCCCCTGGTCCAGCCCCGTCGGGTGTGTCCCAGGCTACCCCTCCTCCTTCGGTAGCCTCTCCGGTACAGCCTCCCTCCCCACAGTCCTCCTCGCAGCGTGCCGCAGGTGCTAGCTCTCGAGAGGTTGGTGCTGCGCCTGTTCCTGTACCGGTTTCTGGTTCTGGGGGTGGTGGAGTTGGAGCTGGAGTTGGAGCTGGAGTTGGAGCTGGAGTTGGAGCTGGAGTTGGCACTGGAGTTTCTGGTTCTGGGGGTGCTGGGGTTGGAGCTGGAGTTGGAGCTGGAGTTTCTGGTTCTGGAGTTGGAGCTGACCCGGTGGGTGCAGAGGACTCTTGTCGTCCGGGAGCTGGTGCTGGTCGCGCGGACACTGGGGGTGAGAGTGCGCCTCCTTCGGGTTCTGGTGAGCCTGGGTCTGGAGCTGGTGTTAGTGCTGCCTCTGGGGGTGGTGCGCCTGGTTCTTCGGGGGTGGACTCTGGAGCTACCGCTGCTTCGGACACTACTCCGCCCCCCCACCCCTACCCGACTAGGCACCAGGCTCGTGTTCGCCGTGCCCGTGACGAGCAGCTGGCGTTGGAGAGAGAGGAGAGGGAGTTACAGCGGCTGGAGGAGCAGCAGCAGCAGTTGGAGCCGCAGGAGCAGCAGCAGCAGCTGGACCCGCAGGAGCAGCAGTCCCAGAAGCAGCCGCTTCCGCAGCAGCAGCAGTCACAGCAGCAGCAGCAGCAGCCACTTCCTCCTACTGTCTCGGGTCTTCGGACCCTTGGTCTCCCCTCCCCTTCTCCTCCCTCCTCCGCCTCTCCTCCTGTCTACGGTCCCACGTTTCCTCCTCCTGACTCCTCCCCCGCTGTTTTCCCCAGTTCTCCGCCTTTGTCCTCTCCTCCTCCGTCTCGTTCTTGTACTACTCGTCGCTCCCCTCGTGCTCGTCCCTCGTCTCCTGTTCCCTTCACTGACCTTCGTACTGCCTTCCTTCTTTCTAGTCCACCTCGTCCGTCTCAGTCTGTGCTTCCGTCTCCTCCTGAGTCGGCCCTCACTGTGTCGCTCCCTACTCCTGTCACTGACTACTACCGCACGTACCGTCCTGTTCTCTCTCGTGTTCTCGCCTCTCTTGTTACTCACCCTCGTGCCTCTGTGTCCTCTGTGTCCGCTCTTACTGCCGCAGTTACTGACTTTGCCTCTACCCGCCGCCTTGACTACGCCACCACGCTTGTGGCTGCTCCTCCTACCAGTCCTCTGGCCGTCGGGGGTGTGTCTGCCCTTGGCTGTGACGCCCTAGAGGACAGGCAGTTTGAGCTAGAGTTCCTGGCGGCCGCTTCCCCTCATCTCTGTGCCATGCTCCTCGCCCCTGAGGGTGACCCCGACGCCCTTGACATTCCGACTCCTCGCACTTACGCTGAGGCAGTGTCAGGGCCTTGGGCCTCTCAGTGGAGAGCTGCCATGGACGCAGAGATGGCCTCCTACAGATCCACAGGCACCTACGTCGATGAGGTTCCCCCCCCTGGGGCGAACGTAGTCGACGGCATGTGGATCTACAGGGTGAAGCGGCCACCGGGATCTCCCCCGGTCTTCAAGGCGCGCTACGTGGCTAGAGGTTTCAGTTAGCGCGAGGGAGTTGACTTCTTTCAGACCTTCTCACCTACCCCGAAGATGACCACTCTTCGGGTGTTACTACACGTAGCAGCACAGAGAGACTACGAGTTACACTCTCTCGACTTCTCCACTGCTTTCCTTCAGGGCAGCCTACACGAGGAGGTCTGGTTGCGTCGTCCCTCGGCCTTCACTGGCACCTTCCCTCCTGGGACCCAGTGGAGGCTGAGGCGACCTGTTTACGGTCTTCGCCAGGCCCCTCGTGAGTGGCACGACACTCTGCGTTCTACCCTCTCTGACCTTGGGTTCCAGCCGTCTTCTGCCGACCCGTCGCTGTTCGTTCGTCGTGGCTCCACACCGTTCTTTGTTCTGGTTTACGTCGACGACCTCGTTTTCGCCACTCCGGACAGGGTTGCTTTGGCAGACGTGAAGTCCGAACTGCAGAAGAGACATACGTGCACTGATCTTGGTGAGCTGCGCCACTACCTTGGCCTGCAGATCACCAGGGACAGAGCCGCTCGCACCATTACACTCTCACAGTCACACATGGTGCAGCAGGTCCTTCAGCGGTTCGGGCTTCAGCACTCCACCGTACAGCGCACACCTCTCGCTGTTGACCACAGACTCACTGGTCCCTTTCCTGACGAGCCGTTTGAGCCTAGTGGTCCCTACGCAGAGCTTGTGGGTTGCCTCATGTACCTGATGACTTGTACTCGCCCGGACCTCGCCTTCCCTCTCAGCATCCTTGCGCGCTTTGTTGCGCCAGGGAGACACCGTCCTGTTCACTGGACGGCAGCTGTGAGGGTGGCGAAGTACCTAGCGACTACATCAGGCGTGGGGCTAGTTCTTGGAGGGCAGCAGTCTGTCGTACTCACTGGTCACTGTGACTCCTCTTACGCTGACGACGCTGAGACTCACAGGTCTACTCAGGGGTACTGTTTCAGTCTGGGTTCTGGAGCTGTTTCCTGGCGTTCCACGCGCTCCTCTTCTGTCTCGACCTCTACAGCTGAGGCTGAGATTTACGCTGGTGCCATGGCGGCACAGGAGTTGCGTTGGTTGACCTTCTTGCTCGCCGACCTTGGTGAGCGGCCGAGCTCTGCACCGACCTTGTTCACTGACAACAAGGCGTCGATCCTCCTCTGTCGTGAGCCGCGACTGGAGAGCAGAGTGAAGCACATTCACGTCAGGTACTTTCTTCTGCGAGAGTTGCAGAGGCGTGGACAGGCTCGCTTCGAGTTTGTAGAGTCCGAGGCCAACACTGCAGACATCTTCACCAAGGCGCTTCCGCCTTGTGACCACCAGAGGTGTTGTGTGCAGTTAGGCCTTGTTGACACAGGTTCTAGTCATGCGTAGACTTGAGTTTATTGCCTGCTTCGTCTGTACATTTACTATATATACTTGTGATCTCTTGGACTGGCCTTGTGGCCACTGTTGCTTGTGCTCAGAGAGTGTGGTGACGTTGTGATCCACCCTGAGCTTTGTTTTCTTTTGGACTGGTCTTGTGACCGTACTTTTTTTTTTATTTTGCTAGACACCCCTCACTTAGGCTATGGGGGTGTGTCAAATGTTGTAGCCTGTAGTGAGGTTTGTCTTAGGGGGTACAGAAGTTAGGGTTTGTTATATGTACCCCAACCAACATCAATGGGATCATCATTCCTCATTTTGACAAGAAGTGAGGGTGGGTGAGAGGTGAGGTGAGAGGGACCTGGGAGAGTTGGGTTGGGCAGCAAGAGGTGGGCGTGCTTGGGAGTAGAGGGGTGGGCTGCGAGAGGCGAGATGAAGGGTAGGGAGGAAGAGCTACTGCAGCTGGATAAAGCAGCCCTGATGCCAATAACTTATTAGAGGAATATATACACAAGCCCTAGGAGGCCAACAAGTGTTGGCCACTTCTACACAACCATATGTACTAAGGCCCATTCAAGTGAGGCTGGTTGAAAGTGGAGCTCCTTTCATGGGGGATTCCCTGGACAGGCTCAAAGAAAGTGAGCGAAGCATTCCAGTGAAAGAAAAGAAAGGCGCCTGAGGTGGAGGCGAGCAGCTGATAATGGGAGGCGCCACATTACGGACAGTCAGCATCTCAGGGCCGATTTCCTGGCGAATAGCCTCAATGGTACTGAAATCGACAGGGCGATTGGACGAATCAGTGACGTAGAACTCGTTCACAGCTTTCCCCCAACGCGTGCATATATTTGCAGCAGTGATGGAGAGGTTGTGCGAGTGGAAAACCCGCGTGACATCGCACAACAAACCAACCCTGTCCCCAGCGCAGAGATCCAGACACATCCCCTGCCACAACAGGAAGTCATGCGACGTGACCAAACAGCCAGTGAAAGCAGTACAGCTTGTTGCAAGTCTCAAATGCAGCAGCAAGATTAATGAAGAAGTTGACTTACCTTGGGGGTGCGACGCAAAATAGCTGCTTCAAGACACTTAACCACGCGCTCCCTCTCAGCTTCGGTGTCCAGCATCGAACCGTCCATGGTTCTGATGTAAAGTTCCTGCAGTTGAAGAATGCAACCAAATGAGAATGCCATACGGACAGTGACATGCGCTTAACGCTACAGTCTCAAAGTGCATGGAGATCAAACTGTTTACTCACCTGAAAGGCCACATCATCTTCTGACTCTATCGTAGCATGGTGAATGATGTACTGCATGTCCGTAAGTGTGCAGACCGTGTCAAACAAAAGTTTCGGCCGGTCCAGGCAGCTCAGCTTGATTATTGTATATTGAGACCCAGGGAGATTTCCTACAGAAACACTGGGACGAAGTTTCTCGTCAGCTGCACCAGCAGGAGAGACATGAATCCCAGCGGCTTCGTAATCCCTGTCAGCAAACATTAGCTGATGCAGCCTCTGGTCGGTCTGGGCCTCCCCAACAAAGAAGCTGTGCCGAGCCTCAATTCTAATACTGTCTGACTCCATCACCGAGCATAAGCTGTCGTGCATTTCGGCCAGCGCAGCAGGGTGGGTGACAGGTCCGCCGTTGACTGCTTGAGTAATGTGAACGACGATAGCCACGCGGTTATTGTGCGTCCAGACCTCTGCTCCCACCACATTGCATCCCAGCTTCGTCAACACCTCTGACACCTCGTAGAGAAGCCCAGGGCGGTCATATCCTGTGAGTTCTATGACGGAGTGTTCAAAATCTATTGCGTCCGCGACAGGCTTTCCTAGGCAAGTCCTTGCATCAGGAGCGAAATCCTCTTTGGTAGCACCCAGGGCCTGCCCAGGAAGAGAATAACATTCAGCAAGTGCGCAAACGCTCAATACCAAGCATTTGGTTGTCGCCTCACTCACCTTCTTGATAAACTGAATAAGGCTCTCGTCTGTCACCTTTTGCCCCAGTTGGTCCACGACATGGAAGACTGCTAAGGGAGAACCGAAGGACAATCAAGCTGATGTGATGTGAAGATGCATCTACACTATAAGTGTGGCCTGCAAGATACTCACCATCAACGAACCATCCGCCATCAGAAGAGATGTAAGCTTTGGAGATCACAAGATCAAGGTCAGTCAAAAGCCGTACGACCTGAAGAAGGCAGCCTTGCTTGTTTGCGCTGTCCACTTTAACAAGGGTTGAGACTGGGTCAGATTCGTTGTCGAATACAACGCTGCAAACAAAAGGAAGCTGTCAGCATTCTTCTCCGCAAAAGAGCTATATCTTCAGCATGTTCTGAATGCAAGCGGAGACGGCTGACCTGGGAGGGTTGACCCGCAACGTAGCTTCCTCGAAGCCTGCAAGCAGGAAGTAGCTCGAACTTAGCCCAAAATTGCGGCATCAAATTAAACACGCACTATATAACAGCTGGAAAATTTTATACCTCGAAAGGAGGTAAGAGAAAGCCTCGGCTGAAATGAGAGAATTGGTCTTGACAGTGACGCCATTAGATTAGAGGTAAGCGATTATGGCCCTGCGTATATTAGCCTAACGATTATGGCCCTGCGTACATTAGCCTAACGTCGTCACGGGAATACAACGCTCCAATTATCATCGCTTTTCAAGGTCACAAAAACAAGTCTTAGAAAAGCGTCCTGCCATGCGTAATGGCGCTGGGGTGAAAGCAAGTGGTCTGGGTTGCAGCATTACTTCTGGCAATGCGAGCACTCCATGAATGGCGGAGCAGTGGCAGGAGCCAAACCTTTTCTTCGCTGGAGCAGAACAACAGAAACAGCTGACAGCACAGCAACAGGTCACCAAGCACAGCAACGTTTCGGCGACGCTTTGCCCAACCGCAGCCTCCACTCGCACGGCGACTGGGACTTGGATCTGGGGCGGACAAGCCTCCATTGGCCAGTCACTCCTTGTGGCCCCGATTGCCAATATCAGGGGTCAATTCCACGCCACGAAAAGGCGATCAGGCTCTCTGATTGGAGGAAAGACATCCCATAAAGTCCAAAACGGCTCCGAAAGGCCAGGCGAGCCACAAACCTTTTTCGGCCATTATCTCCGATACTCAGATTTTGCCTGAGCGCGCTGTCAGGTGTAATCAACCTGGACTTTCTCAGCGTTGATTTGTTGTCGCTTTATAGTCACATCTTTCACACTGGTCAAACTCATTAGGAAATAACAAAAATAGAACCATCTCGTTTACCCTTCCGACTTGGATTTAAGTACGGAAATTTAGGTAGTAAGAGAATGAAGCCCATATAATTCACTTGGTAGTGCTCGGTACCGCAACCGACCGCTAAACAATTCTACCGAAAGCACTAGACGACGCTACCGAGAACTATTCGGGCATGGCACAAAAAAAACCCTTAGGGAAACTGGATACATTTTCGAGAGGAGTCAACCATAAACACTGGAATGGGCATTTATTTTAGGGTTGATGCCTCCCGAGTCGCATCCCTTTCCGAGTGGGTTTTATTTTTTTTGTCAAGTGGGTTGCAGTATGTTTTCCAAAATATTTGGCGGCTTTCGGTATTTAGGGTTGATCCTTCCCGGAAATCATCTAGGCTCACTACAGGTTTTATATTTATTTTTTTGCAAGCGCTGCAATATTTTTTTTAGTGACTATATACAAACAAGGGCCAGGAAAGCTTCCCACTATATCGCGGAGCCGTGTTTCTGTTGGCGGTTACACCTTAGAATGCGCTCAGGCAAAATTTGAGTATCGGAGATAATGGCTGAACCTCGTTCGATCCGACTGTGTAGGGAAAGGGGAAAGTGAGCGCAGGGTGTCAGCACAGTACTCGACACTACTTTACCTTGTAATATTATGTGCTCGTTGCGTTTTTTCCAAAAGAAATGCGCCTATCACCGTGAAAGTGATAGAAGTGAGACCCACCAACATGTGAATTACATGCAGAAACAGAGGCTTGAAAGTGGAGTTTGGTATATGTTTTAGCTTACGACTATCTCCTTTTCAAGAGATGCATATCAGCTATCTGGTGAACCTTGCGAAGTTAATTGAGTTTTAACCTCTGCCATCTGAGTCACTTGAGTGAGTGAAAAAATTCCTTCAGGTCTTTACTCCCCTGCAACTCTTTATACACAGCATCCACATTGAAAAAAGACGCAAACTATGTACAGTCGATATCATACGTGCTATGCACTGCACAGTATGCAGGAAAGGGATATACAGCATCGTAAATCAATAAATGCGAATGATGTCCTCCAGCATGAACTTCCCAGGTCCAAATGATCCTTTCGATTAACTCCTCACTTCCCATAAGATAGTAAGAAGTAGCAACGATAATATTATGAAGGGTATCGTTGTGCAGACTATACAGCGCATTGCACATACCGTACCGATCCAGTACCTCTACTATGGATCGAAGTGAACACCCTCAAAACGTGGGTTTGAAAAGGTATGTGAAAGCTTGCCACATGCCATCCACCTTTCTCCCAGCCCTCTTATCCTCGTTTTCCCTCCCCGTGCAGTCTTCCTTGCATTCCACCAGCTACACTTGCCTCCTGCGGCTGCCAGCGTGCAGATGCCACCATGCCATGCCAAGCAACACCAGGCCATGCCACACAATGCCATGCCATGCCAAGCCACACAATGCCTTGCCAAACCATGCCCCACCGTGCCATTCCAAACCATGGCACACCTCAAACAAATGCATGCCATCCCATACGATGGCATCCCCAACATGCTATGCCACCACACAATCACATCCTACACCATGGCATGGCATGGCATGGCATGCCAACAGTCTGGAATGCCACAACGTGAGATGCCACAGTAAGCAATCCCGACATATGCACCATACAATAAAGGAAAGTGCACCATGGCATGCCATACCATGCCGGATGACACACATGCATACACAGGATGGCATGCCATGCCATGCTCCACACCATGCCATACACAAACACTGAAACATGCACACTGTAACATCCATGTAACATGCAGACTGTACCATACACACAGTACCATGCACACTGTAACATGCACACAATACTATGAACACTGAAACATGCACACAATACCATGCACATTGTACCATGCACACTGTAACACACACACAGTACCGTGCACACTGTGCCATGCCACCGCACCAACAGGTGGCATCAGTGCCCTAGGGTTCATCCCATGCCACCCAAATGAGCATCATGCTCTCATGCCACAGGTGGCATCAGTGCCCTAGGGCTCATCCCCATGCCACCCAAATGAGCATCATGCTCTCATGCAACAGGTGGCATCAGTGCCCTAGGGCTCATCCCATGCCACCCAAATGAGCATCATGCTCTCATGCAACAGGTGGCATTAGTGCCCTAGGGCTCATCCCATGCCACCCAAATGAGCATCATGCTCTCATGCAACAGGTGGCATCAGTGCCCTAGGGCTCATCATGTGCCACTGCCAACCCCACTGCCTCTCACCACCATCACCACCCAGCCCACCCAGCTCTTTCCCAAACTCAGCTAATAGCAGTAGGAGCAGCAGACAGCCCACTCCCCTTCGGAAACAACAACCCCAGGGGGTTGTGCCTTGCAGGGTGAGGAGTGGTACTGGAAAATTGCTTCCAGCCCAAGACTCAAATCCCACCCCTGACGTAGCCAGAGCTGACGCGAACCAGAGCCGCCGGCCGGTCGGCTCTGACGGTGTCCATTAGGCCTTGAACGCCAGATCGGTTACTTGAGCACAGAGTGCCGTGCCGCGCAGATTCCACCCACCACACCCCGACCCACAACGCACAACCCCAGAAGGTGCTGCCCCTAAGGCAGTGAACTGCCCACTCACTCCCATGCTTCCCACCCAACCACCCACCTCACACTTCACCCCCATGCCTCCTTACCTCTACCTACCTCTACCTACCAGAGCCATGCAGAGCGCCATGATGCCTTAGGCTGCTGGGGAAGGGGTGGTTGAAGGGAGGGGGGGATGAACGGAAGGAGGGGATTCCACTGTGGTCCAGGTAGGGTGCTGCTGGGAGGGAAGGGAAAAGGGAGAGAGGAGGAGGTGAGTGAGAGGGTGGACTTCACTCTCCTGTCCTTGCTTCAGTGCTCCCACTCTCAGGCTGCAAAAAAGACACGGGGGGGAGGGGGAAGAGAGAGAGGAGATTCAGACAACCATACCTCACCTGATACCTTACCTCACCTGCTACCGTACCATACCTGATACCACACCTCCCCAGAGCTTCAGCTAGCCTAGCCTGCCCCCTAACCCCTCAACCCCACCGCTGCTACAGCATGCATGGAAAGATGATGTGCAGATGGATGTGAGCGAGCATGTGAGGGAACATGTGAGAGAGAGCGAAAGCAATGAACAAGCGAGATGGAATAGAGGGAGTGTACTCATCTGGTGCGGCTGTGAGTGGCGGTGGCGCCTTGAGCCTTGAGGCTGCTGTGCTGCCGCCATTGAAGCGCCTCACACCACCCAAAGGCGCTGCTGGGAGTGATGGGAACTCGCCACCAGAGGGGCTGCTGGGGGATGGGCGGAGGGGAGAAGTGGGGAGGAGGGAAAGGGGTGGAGATGGAGAGGAGGGGAGAGGAGAGTTGGAAAGGAAGTTAAGTGGAGGAGAGAGAGGTATGCAGATGGAAAGGGAGATGTGCAGGCAAGGCATACAGGCGTGGAAGAGAGGAGGGGAAAAGAGGCTCACCTTGTTTCATATGACCCAATCCCGATACTCTCCCTTCCTGCCCCAGCCGAGTGGAGTACTGCCCCCCTCCCCTCCCACCGTTGCACCTGCACAGCCACAGGGGAGGAGCGTGAGGGAATGGCGGTGTTGACCCCCACGCCCCTCCCCTAAACCAGCAAGGAGAGAACTGAAGGGAAGTAAGTATGCGGCTAGGGGTAGAAATGTGAGAGGAGTGCATGAGATGGCATGTGTGAGCAGAGAAGGGGGCCACTGGTGCAGCCTCAGCTACAAGCCACAGACCCAAGAGAGGTACACACCTAGGGAGGCTTACCTGCAGACCTGAGAGTATACCTGCAGTACCTGGGGGAATTTACCCAAGAAAAGGGGTCTGTGGCATGAAGCATTGGCTCAACCAGCGGTTTGCGTTTGAATTCACAAGAGGCAGGAGATGCAGCAAAACCTGAAATGGAATGAAAGTAAACGCAAGAGGAAGGCTGGGTACTTAGCTGTGGTTGGGTTCGGGTGGAGAGCAGCTGCTGCCTGTGCACTCCATTCCATGTCCCCCGCCACTGCCTCTCCCATGTGAGCGACCCGCTGGGACGAGAGAGGACAGAGAGAGGAAGGGAGGAGGAGGGGGAAAGGACGGAGGTCTGATAAGGAAGAAAGGTAGGGTGATGAGTAAAGAGGCGAAGGCAAGTGAGAGAAGTGAGAGCGAACGAGGGCAAGAGTGAAGTGTGGATGGATGGGCTGCTGCAGTGGCACACCCAAGAGACCTCGTACCAGCTGAACCATAAACAATCAGCTACCTGAGGCTGTACCAAGCTTTGAACCTGCTACCTTGGGGGAGGGAGGTCTCTTGAGTGTGACAGAGAGCAGCAAGGAAGGGAGTTGGATGCATGGTGCAAGCTAGACATGAGAAGCAAGACAATGTGAGGGTTGGGAGGAGAAATGAGCACTTAGCTGATGGCGTGAGAGCAGGAGGCAGTTGAAGGAGCATGGGCAGCAGGCATGGCATGGCGTGTCACTCGCGCTGCAGCACTGAGGGGGAGGGAGGCAGCAGCTCGTTGCACGCACTTCAGCACGGCTCGTGCGCTGTTGGGAGGGAGGGGGAAGGGGAGGGGGAGGGGAGAGGAGGGGAAGGCGGAGGGGCGGGGGGGAGCGGGAGGGGAAGGTGAGGAAGAGGCGAGGGGATGTGCATGGAAGGGTAGTGAGGGGAAGAGGATGCATGAGGGGTGAGGGAGGAAGAGCTGAAGGGGGGCCACTGGTGGAGGCAAGAGTAACAAGCCACAGACCCAAGGACTGGTCAATACCTGCAGTGAGGGAAGGCTTTACCTGACAGGTTCACATGAGGAGACTCACCTGGGGGAGGCTTTACCTGCAGTAAGGAGGGTCTGTGGGCTGTACCCTGTGCTGCCACCAGTGGCCGCGTTTTGATGGACGAATGGAATGAAAAACGTGCAGAGGGGCAGTGACGTGGGATGGATGCGTGGTGCGTGGAGGAGAAAGCACTTAGCTGACGATGTGGCTGCTTTCTGCTGCCGCCAGGTGGTTGAGGCACGGGGCCATGCTAATGCTGCCTCAGGTGCTTGCTCGCTGCCCCACGTCCGCCTGCCGTTGCTCCTTGGGCTCCACTCGCCTGCCCTTGCTCGCCACCACCGCGTGTGCCAGCGACACAGCTCTAGAAATCAATCTGTAAAGGGAAGATCACAAGATTGATGGGCCACGATGAGTCGCGAGATTGAACGCGAGATGGATTCGAGAAGATAAGTCGCAAGAAATGAGACGCGATACGCGACGTGTATCCAAGCAACTGCTTCAGACAAGTAGCTCGCGAGACGCGACGTGCCATATAATTGATCCCCAGAATTGATGAGCCAGTGACAAGCAGCGGGGTGATGAAAGCCATGGTGGGTGGGAGCAAAGATGGATTCGTGCGGGAAAGTAACTGAAATGGAAAGATCAACGAGAGCTTGAAGTGAGAGAAGAGAGCTTACCTTTTCCATTGAGATGGCGTCGCCATGCTTGGTGGCGAGCGGATGGCGACTCGCCATATTTGATGGCGAAACGAATGGCAAATCGCCGTGCTTGATGGCGAACGAATGGCGAAACCAACTGTTGATGGCGAAATGTCATGGTTGTGCGCAGACCACAGTATCACGGTAAGATAGTGCTTCCTGCACGGAAAGAATGAAATGCGAGTAAGCTCAGAGAGAGCCGTGACGGCAGTTCAACGAGCAAACCCATCATGGGGGAAACAGACGGATAACGGAACTTGAACGCGAATGTCGAAACGTACCGAAGAGGTTGACACGGCGAAATCGTCTTTTCTGACGACGAATGTCTTCTTGGTGAAGGCGAAATCGTTGGGTTCTGACGACGGCTGACGGCTGACAGCTAAAGGTTGCTGACGGATAGAACCGCTGCTAATGGTCGAAATCGTTCCTTACGGAAAAAATTGCTCAGCTTCCGGACGAAATTTAGAAGATTGAGGAATTCGCAAACCAAGATTGAAATAGCTGCTGGCCACCGAAGTTGCTGCTACGCCAAAATTCCGGAAGAAACCGTGCTGCATGCTAAAGGAGATATCGCTGTTGGTGGAAATCGACGCTAACTGTCAGCTTGCCGTTGTTTGACAGTCATTAAACTCAGCTAACTGGCGATGTCTAAACATTCATGTGGAAAACAAACATCGGAGCCCAATCATGAGCTGGCGAACGACTGGAAATGACGCGTCGATCTGCTTATCCTGAACGCAAACTGCTAGGGAAAACTAGGAATGACTCGGAGCTTGTGAGACGGATTACGGGAAAGATGTCGTGGTTTTGGAAATGGCTCCTAGGCATTCGTGGGCTGCGATAACTCGTGTTTTTGGTTGGATTGACAGAAGTCAGAGTGATTAAGCCTGGTTGGCAAGGGCGATTCAAGGTTCAATTGTGTGATGGTTCATGTTCTGTTGGTCTGCAGGTTTCTTTCTCAAGCAGACGATGGTTCAGCCCAGCCCAGAGCCATGCCAGCCAATCCCGAAGTTGGTTCAGCGGCGGCAGCGGGAATGGTGGTTTTCTGCTTGCGGCCCAAACCAAGCGCAGCGCTTGTTTGGGCGCAAGCGCGTGTTGGGTTCGCTGAGTGGCGGAGCGACTCCGCTGCTCACGAAAGCCTAGGCGATATCACAAGTTGTTTCGTTGTAGACAGAACACCCCCACTCTGCTAGGGCAACGATCTTTGGCGAAAGCTTATCGTCGCCACACCCGTCGAGAATGACCGTTGGCTGAAAGAGCCGCGGGCTTGCGGAAACCTTCCCCTAAAATTCACTGACACATAGCAGAGATTCCGCGGTTTTCGTTCGGTTTGCGCAATGCCTCCCTGGAGGTTCGGGATTTTAAACCAACGGCTAGGCTGCGGGAAGCGGAATATGGGGAGTTTTATGGAAGCCATCGTGAGAAAGGAGAGATCCAAGGCTGGGCAATTGAACGGATGATGTAGCTTAGTGCCGACATTAGCAAATTCTTGGTGCTCACTCCCTGTGTAGAGAATACACCAACATTTATCCACATCATTATTCCTTAAAACATTCAGTAATCAACTAAACCGTGAATTATAGAAAAGGTGGAAAGCACAGTATCAAAATTGGTCTGATTGCAGATAGTTTATCTATATGCACGCCCACATAAAAGACAAAGCATCAGAAAATCGGTGCATTATTCTCTCCTCTAAATTTCATGGAAGATCAACTGCATATTGACAGCGTGAAGACTGAATATTCTCCCCCAGACATGCCTGCCTGTAACCCTTCTCTAAAATCAATTGAAGACCCACAGTGCAGGACTTCTGAAAATTGACCAAATACAGCCAAGTCTCCCCGGAGTGTCTAATGCAGGCAAAACAGCAACCCGAACCCCCTCCAGAAACAAATCCATCATAGCCTATTGAAGTCCAACACTAACGAATATAATCTGAACCCGACAACAAGGCCTGATGTGGAGCGAGTGGGTGCTCCCAAGGCCTTGGCGTTCCCAAGGCTGCCATTGGTGTGGAGCGAGCGAGCGCTCTGGAGAATTCTCACGCTCTTCTCTCAAGCTTGCAACTATCTCATTGGTGACCCTGACTACTCACCCTTACCACTGCCTCTCACCCCACACTCTCCCTATGCTCCCCACACTCACTGCTCACTCACCCAGTCACTGTCAAATCAAAACACACTCTCATCACTCAGACTGACTTGTCACTCTCACCACTCACCCTCCCCAATCTCTTTAACCACTGACAATCATCATTCACTCTCACAACTCACTTCTCATACCTCATACTCACCACTCACTCACTCTCCCAAAACACTCTTGCCATGCACGACTCACTAACTCTTTCCACCCACTGTCACCTCTCATTCTCACCTCATCACTCACTCTCTACTCGCCTCCGTGGAGGCGGAGGTATCTGCCTTCCGCCTAAGCCTAACTCGCAACAGCTAGAGAGAAAAAGCTACCAAAATGGGGCCAGTAGTGGGTTCGGACGGGCAGCAAGAAGCACCAGAGGCGGTCTGCAGCGGGCAGCAGAGCGGGTCAGCAGCAAGGAGCAGGGGCAGCAGCCCCGGTGTGCAGAGAGCGGTGAGCAAAGGCGGTGAGCAGAGGCGGTGAGCAGAGGCGGTGAGCAGAGGTGGTGAGCAGGGGTGGTCAGTAGGGGCGGTAGCGCAGGTCACCCCTGGAGGCACCTCTGTCAGCGGGCATGGTTCCTGGTGGGCCTGCCAGGTCGCCATATGCTGCACTGCTGTACTGCTGCAGGGGGAAGCACGTGCAGCCATGCAATCATGCCGCCATGCCATCATGCCATGATGCCGCCATGCCGTCATGTCATCATGCCATGCAGGGAAGGGCGCAGTCGGAGAAGAACAGGCACACAGCAGCACCACACATGCCATGCAGGGAAGGACACACAGCAGCGCCACACATACACAAAATAAGTACCTTGCTTGGAACCACAAACAAAGCCTCACCATCAAGTCACCCAGACACACACACACACAAGACGACAACCAGCACGGCAACAGCAAAGCAAGCACTCACCGCAGCTTGCCCGTACTCAGCCCCAGGAGCAGGCGCCTGCCCATACGCCTGCTGCGCTGCCGCCATGTAATAGCCCTGCGCTGCTGCCGCCGCCGCTGCTGCCCCCGGGCTCCTGGGCCCTGAGGAGGGACCCAGGGAGGGGTCGGAGGGGGCAGGGGCATATGCGGAGGGCAGGTACGCGGCGGAGGAGGGGGCTGGGGGGGGAGCGCCTTCCTGTGGCGTTGCCCTCTCCACCGCCACCTGCCGTTGCACAGAAGGGCAGTGGGGGGGCGAGATGGGGGGCGGGGTGGGAGGGAGAGGTTGGAGAGATGAGACAGAGGCAGGGAGGGAGACAGTGGGAGGAACATACAGGAATGGGCGTGACAACAGACAAGCGAACGAGGATGTTTGGTGAATGAACAGACGGCACTAGTGAAAGCCAGAAACCAGGAACGGCGACGGAGGAAGAGAAATGCGAGGGGATGGGCGGGGGAGAGGGGAAGGGGAGGGACGAAGGGGGGAGGGAGGGGAGAGAGGAGAGGGGAGAGAAGGGAGAGGGGAAGAGGAGGCACTGACGGTGCGGCCACAGATCTCATGCTGCCTCTTGGCAACGAAGGCTGCCACCTCCTCCTCCAGGAACGTCACGAAGCAGAACCCCCTGTGCCCTCCCTTGGCCGAGTCCTGCACCATGCACCACACAGCACACAGCATGCCACGCACCACAGTGGCACGAAATTTAGCTCAGTGCCTCACAGCCATGGCGTGCACGATATGAACAACATTTACACAGCAATTACACATTCCACAAAAGAAAGTCCCGCAGGCAGGCAGTACCTTGGGAAGGTAGACGTCCTCCACTGGTCCAAACCGCCCGAAGTACTCGCGAATGTCCCCCACAGTGGCGTCATGCGGCAGCTTCCCCACAAATATCTTGGTCGGGTGCACCGCCCTGCCCCCGCCTCCCCCCCCATACCCCTGCCCGCCCGCCCCCCCATGCCCCTGCGGAGGAGGAGGCGCAGCAGTATAGGCGGGCTCCCTGGGCGCGCCATAGAGCATGGCGGGGGGGTAGGCGGGGTAGGCGGAGGCGAAGGCGGCCATGGGGGGCATGAAGTCGAAGGGCGACATGGGCAGCGCCATGGCCCCCGGGGGGTACGCGCGGAACGGGCGCGCTGGGGACCCCCGGTAGCCCCCTCCACCTCCGCCCCTTGGCCCCTCGTCCTGAGAGGCGCGCAGGGGAGGGGAGGAGACGGCAGGACAGGGGAGACCAGACAACGTTATCAGATGGCCGCTCAGCGCACGCAGCCCAGAAAAGAACTGCTGGATAATCAAGCTGCCCTAGTTAGTTTTCCGAGAATGCTCCAGGCCGCTGGGCCAACAAAGAAGCTTGTGCAAGCAAGGGGTTAGTAAGGTGAATGACAGGGAAAGTGTCAAACAAAGGAAGGTACCTTGGGCGTGGCTCTGTCGATGGCGAGCGTGGCTCCATCCAACTCCCGCGGCTCTTCCAACACCTTGTCCACCGATGCTGCACACATGGCAACCAGACGGGGTGTGAGTGAGAAAGAACCCAGAATAGCACTGCGAAACAGCAACGCAGAATGACGGAGCGAAACGCATTCAGCTGCCGCATTCGTGAGCATTCGTGTTATGCAGAGCAATGGTACCTGCGTCATCAAAGGTCACAAAGCCGATGTTACGATGCGGGTTGGACCCGTGGCCCTGAGGAGGAGAGGGGATGAACACCGAGCACAGAGCATCGAGAATGGAGCATGGAGCACAGACAGAGCATGGGGCACGGAGCACCGATGTGGATCAGTCCAATGCAGGCCTGCATTGACAGGGTAAGAATGGGGCTACAGCGAGACAGCAAAAAGCTAGAAGGGGCCGTACCTTGGGCATGTAGCAGTCAGTCACATTGCCAAACGCTCCGAAGTACCTGCAGCAGCGGAGCAGAGAAGCAGGGCATGGCAGCAGGTGGTTGCGGGGGCACGTGTTGAAGAACCAACAATAGATTCCGCGCTGCAGAAGTAGGAGAAAGGTAACCACTGGCTCAATGGCACGCAGCAGCATAGCACGTTACCTCTTAAATCTGTCCTCTGTGACGGTGGTGGGCACGCGCGCGACGAATATGCGTGTGGACGACACCTTGGGGCCCTTGGACATCTCCTCCTGCTCGCACACACCACACACGCGCATCAGTGCCCTTTTCTTTAAAAACGAAGCGGAAGGGTGTGGCGATGGCGACGGTAGGTGAGATGATGGGTTGGTAGCTTGGCTGGGTTGGTTGGATGGTTGCGGACGGACCTTGGGCGTGGCCGTCTTGACTTCCAGCTGCCGGCCTCCCAGGGTGTGCTTCATCTGCGCCACGCTCTGATGCACATACATGCCACGAATTTCGGATGATTCGGATGATATAATTACGACAGAAAGGAATGTAATGTTCGGATGAATATCGACCAGCGAAAAGTGATCTAGTCCATCCGATCGTGCTCCACGGAAGCAGACAACCGCCGGGCATCCTGGAGTGAAATGCTGCTCACCTGCGCGTCTGCGAGGAGGCTGAACGTGACGTAGCCAAACCCTCGAGACCGCCCGGTGCTCCGATCCTGCACCAACGCACAGATGAATATCATAACACCAGACGAACATTTCACAAAACTAGAACAGAAAAAAAAAAAAAAAAAAAAAAAAAAAAAAACTGAATGCTGAAGTGGTGGCGAAAAGCTACCTTGAGTACGATGACGTCATCGAGCGCGCCGAACTTCTCCATGTATTCGCGGAGGCCCTCCGTGTCCATGCTGTACGGTATGCCCAGCACCTGCACGCACGCACCCGCCACGCGTCAGCCGAACTCTAACGAGATCCGCCAAGGATCAGGAACGCAGGGCGAGAGAAATGCAGGGAGATAAGGAACGCAGAACGATCGGAAACAAAGACACATTTCCTCTGAGACTCACAACGAGCTTTCTTGACACGGTGTCCTGCGAGGCCATCTTCGATGTCCGCTTGCTTAACGAACCACGATATGTAACCTCTTTAACGAGGATAGGCGCTCGCGGCGAAGCTCAGCTGAGACCTCGCGATGCGATCTGGCGACTCCCTGAACTCAGCTACGCTCGACTCGCCTCGTCTCGCCTCGTCTCACTCCGCTTCCTCTTCTCAGCTCAGCTCAGCTTAGCTAAGCTTCGCTCAACTCCGCTTATCTCGCCTCCGCGGTCTCTGTCGCGACTCCTCTCCGCACACCTCTCCGCTCGCCTCACGCGACGTCTCAACACTCTCGCCTTGCCTGCAAGAAAGGAATCCCATGGCGGCAATCAAGTTACCTGACAACAGAACAGCTCAACTGCGATAAAATGCTCACAAGCGACGAGTCATCATACTTTGCAACGAAGAACGGAAAACGCGGAAGCCTCACAACTCAAGAAGATCGGCTCAGCCTCGCGGGATCCCTTCGCTCAGTAACGCTCTGATCTCAGTGGTATCAGTCGCAATCACGCGCTAACGGATCGAATCGACGTCCCCTCGTCCAGCTTAAAGTCGGCGTGAAAGGCGGAGATGAGGGAAGATCAGAACCAGGTAGCGAGAGCAGCTAGTCCCAAGAAAAGGGTCTCTGAACAGATGATATCGAGATTGCCAAGGATGTCTGGGGAGTGATGGCGTAGGGGTGGAAAGCTTATTGTTGGAATATCCGCGAGAGCGAGAAGAGGTGTATCACTGTACTGAACCACGTAATCTGGAAAACCTCACTTCCATGTTATATTCACAATTTGAGTTCTCGATAATCCCCATTTTTTGTGCAATGCATCCGACTTTTACAATGTAATTCTTTTACATTCATCAGTCTGTCACCTTACTCAATATCATTCATTTCCTTGTCAAGCCACACTTTCTTGAAACTGGTCTTTACCATTAAATACAATTCTAGGGGAAACAAAACACATTATAACGCCTTTCAACAAATCAAGTACCTAGAAACCTACATATCCTATAACGAATAAATGGTTACACCAAAGCCCATCCAAAGCCTTGGGAACTCAACATGTTCGCCGCTCCAACTCATTGAGGCATCTGGTCATTCCCATCACATGAAGAAACAGTGCTTCCATTATTGATACGGAAACTGAACCGTCTCCAGGTCCACTCAGTGGGAGAATCCGCACTCCTGGACTTCTCTGTGAACTCGACCAGCCCAGAGCGGTGCACCGCCACCACTATGCAGCTGCGCGTTCCATACGCCCCCTGGTGTGGGTGAGAGGGGTCAGTGAGACGAAGAGTGAAATTGGAGGGCAGAGGAGAACGCATATGAGACAGAATAAAGCACAGACTGGATTGTTAATTTGGTGAAAGACAATATGGCACCACCGGACCCACGAGCTGGGTCGGACAGCAGAGAAACAGATTGCACAAAAGGGCACGACAGGATAGAAAACAAATGGCCAGCAGTGCACCTTGGGAGTGTCACAGTTGACAAAGACAGGTGTCAGCCTCTGATCATACTCCGGCCCCATAGGGCAGTGCTCTGCCTCAGCCACGTCAGCACTGGTGTGAGGGTGCACAGGCTGCCACGCGTCCATGAGCACTCTCTCTATAATCACCTCTGCTGGCACCTCGCCCCCCTTACTCTCCGCCAGCAGCTCAGCTAGGTGCTCCTTGGCTCGCTCCACCTGCCAGACAGGAGTGTTACGAGCCGAAGAGGAGAGGCCAGGCGGTTGGATTTGGAAACGGGGGTGTGGAAAGAAAGGAGGGGAAGGTGCTTCAGGGCACGAGAACACATGTGATTCGTTCACACTTATTCATTGCTCTCGGCTGTGACTCCATCGCTCTGCTCTCTCCCGTCCCCAAGACCCCCTTTCTGGTCCGACCTTGCTCCAGGGAGTGTCGAGAGCCGCATTGCTGAGTCCATGCAGCCCTCTCTCCACGCGCATCACACCACATGCTGCCGCCCCATCCCGCTCCTTCCCGCCACCATCTGCGCCCCTACTTGCGCTCCCCCCCTCATGAGGCGGGGCGTTGGTCAGGTAGTACATGCGCACATGCGCGGAGGGGCTACTGCTGGCTTCCTCCCCACATGCGCCCTCTGCGCCTCCCCCCTCTGTGCTTGCTCGCCCCTGTTTCCGCTCCTGGTCCTGCTCCTCCACTGCTGCCGCATCCGCGCTGTGCCTGCTCTCGTCAAATGCCACGTCAGCAGCAACGAGGTTGAACCCGTTGAAGAGGTGCGCACGCCGCGCCACGGACTCCAGGTACTCGCGCGGACCCCCTGCGCCCTCCGCGCCCTCCTCGCCTTCCGCGCCCCCTGCGCCTTCGGTGCCGTCCGCGCGCCACGCGCCCTGGAGGAAGTCGGAGATGAGGGCGCCGCGGCTGACAGCGTCGGCGCGATTGCGGACGGCCCAGCAGTTGGAGAGGAACGCGACGCGCCCGCCCGTGCTCGCGCCCAGCCACGTGCCCCCGCACTGCAGGTCGCGCCCCGCCAGCACGCGCGGGTCGTCACGCCAATAGTGCGCGGGGTCCGTGGGCCTGGCGGAGGATGGGGAGGGGGGAGGCGGCGAGGGGTGGGGGGGAATAGGAAGAAGGTGGGGGGGGGGGGGGGGGGGGGGGGGGGGGGGGAAGAGGAGAGCGGGAGCGGGATTGAGAAACAAGAAAGGTGTTCGCGAGGGGAGCCTGCGTGAGGCCGGAGGCCGGGCGACGCCGGAGGGGAGTGAGCCATTAGGCGACGGTGGGCGACGGTGGGCGACGGTGAACGACGGTGGGGACGGTGGCGAGAGGGAACGCGACGGACCTAGCGAGGAGCTCGTCGCGGTTGGAAGCGAGGAGCAGCGCGTAGAGCGGATGGCCGTCCAGCACCCACACGGACAGACACATGCTGCCGCGGGGCTTCGCGTGGCGAGTGGCTCGGTGTGGCGCGTGTTCGGATACGACCCGTGGCTCGATAAGGAATGCACGTTGGTCGTACGGGAGTGACTCAAGTGCGCGGCGATGGGTTGCTCGTCCGTGTGTGACGCAACGGGTGCGAATTTCAAGTATAGGAACAAATAGAGTTGCACAGTTGTGAAACAAGAAAACTAAACAAGAAGAAATATGGTCGGTCTTTTGAATGGCGCCTGCTCTGGGCTTCTGAGCTGCTTGGGGAATGACGGGCTGCGGGATAGAATTGAGAGGCACACCGAAGGTTTCAGTTGTGCGACGGCAAGCGACGGTGCGACGTAACTCTCGCGCCGCAATACGATGCTGTTGGTTGACACGTCATGTTGAGTCAGCACGGACTTCTGTTCCTCCCAAGTGCAAGGTGCGTTTCAGTGATTGTGGCAGCAACATAACGCTCCAATTATGGAACTTTCTGAATCCACATAGCAAAAGAAAATAAAACATACACAGGTAAAGGATTTACCAATGTCTCAAACAAATCTGATGGCGTGATGCACTTTTCCCATTTAATGCGTTATCTACACACCATAAAAAAATGCATCCATACTATACAACACTACATAAAGTATGTCCCAAACTTGGCTCTCACGTATACCTATCAAATAATATCTATAAGGGTATATTACTGGAGCGCGTCACAAAAGCCTCGCGTCTCAAACGACGAGATTCAGTGCGGTAGAAACACTCGATACTTTTGTGTAATGCGGTGCAGAGCTGTACATTGCTTTTGTGACGCCTAAAATGAAGACGTGTCAGCGCAGGAATATACCCAACTCTGTTATACATACAAGGCTGTAGTGAGATGCATAGTATAGGGTACAATGTCAGAACATTATAGCTTATGCTTTTGTGTAGGCTATAGTGGGGTATCCCATAGGGGGTACAACCCAATTAGGGTTAGTACTTGTACTCATTTCATTTCATAGTTCAGTAATTCTCGTTTCTTCTCATCGTATCGAGCAGGTTCCCTCGTGGGAACTGTTCCTAGGGCCCACCAAAATCGAACTTTTTTTTCCTGCCCGGAGCGCGCCTCGCTTAGGCCTCCTTCAGCCCCGTCGCGTCGCCCCTAGCGACCTTCCTCGCCGCCCTTAGCGGCCCGTCGCCACCCCACGCGGCCCGGCGCTGCCCTTTAGCCGCCCGTCCCGGCCCGTCGACGCCCGTGCGCCGCCCGTCCCGGCCCCACGCCGCTGTCCAGGCCCGTCGCCGCCCGGCCCGTGCGCCGCCTATCCAGGCCCGTCGCCGCTCGGCCCGTCGCCGTCCTTTGCGGCGTCACGTGCCGCCCCTACCCGCGGCTCTGCCGCTTTACCTGCGGCCCTGCCACCCTACCCGTGGCTCCGCCGCCCTACCCTACCTGCGGTCCCACCGCCCTACCAGCGGCCCCGCCACTCTACTTGCGGCCCCGCCGCCTCACTCAGCGGCCCCGCCACCCTACCTGCGGCCCCGCCGCCCCGCTCTCGGCCCCGTCACCTGCTGCATCGCCGCGCCGCCCTACAGCAGCGCAGCCGAGCCGCCCTGCAACCGAGCCGCCCAGCCGCCGAGCCACCCAGCAGCCGAGCCGCCCAGCAGCCGAGCCGCCCTGCAGCCGGGCGCCCACCAGCCGAGCCGCCCAGCCGCCGAGCAGCCGAGCCGCCGAGCCGCCCAGCAGCCGAGCCGCCGAGCAGCCGAGCCGCCCTACTTCCGGGCCGCCCGACCTGCCCAGTCTGGTGAGCACAGCCCCTTTGTCACTGCACTGCCCTCACCCTACTGTTTGCACTACTTGTCGTCTAGGGTCATGGCTACCCCCAGTGTCCTCGCCTTTGACGCTGAGGGTAGGGCCATTGACTTTGAGGTCTGGGTAGATGACATGCAGGTGTTCTTACAGTGCGATAGGGCAGACGGCCTCTCTCTATTTGACCTCACCTCCGGCGCTTCCCCTGCCCCTGCTGCTGATGCTGACGCCACTGTTCGCTCCCAGTGGGCCACGCGCGACGCTGCTGCACGTCTTGCTGTGCGTCGCCACCTCCCTACCTCCGAGCGTGCGCACTTTAGTCAGTACAAGAGTGCTCAGACCTTGTATGACGCTGTAGTTGCGCGCTACTCCTCCCCTGCCACTGTTGCATTGAGCCGTCTCATGCTACCGTACCTCTTCCCTGAACTTGCTGCCTTTCCCACAGTCGCTGACCTCATTACGCTCCTCCGCACTAGTGACACTCGCTACCGCGTTGCGCTTCTTGCTGACTTCTGCGCCAAGAACCCCCCCCCCCATGTACATCACCCTCTACTACATAGTCACTCGTCTCCCTGACTCCCTTCGCGTAGTCAGGGACCACTACCTCTCAGTCTGTCCCACCACTCTCACTGTCGACCTCCTTGAGAAGTCCTTCCTCGCGCCCGAGAAGAGCATAGTCGCTGTAGGGGCCTCTCGTGGTGACCCGCGCACCCCCATCTTTGAGGGGTGTTCCCCCTCCCCCCTTCTGCCCTCTGTTGCCTCTGCTGCTGCGGCCGACCTCCTTGGTCTTGAGTCGGTCGGTGCGGCGTCTGCCCCTAGCGGGAGACGCCGCTCTGGCAGGGGCAAGGGGGGCAGGGGCGCTGGAGGAGCGAGCGGGGGCGGTGGAGGTGGAGGTGGAGGCGGCGGGGGGAGTGGGGGTGGCGGTGGGAGTGGAGGTGGGGGTGGAGGTGTTGGTGGCGGCAGTGGAGGCGGAGGCGGCAGCGGCAGTGGCGGTGGGAGCGGAGGTGGCGGAGGTGGTGGCGGTGGAGGCGGCGGAGGAGGCGGCGGTAATAGCGGAGGCGGCGGAGGCGGCGGAAGTGGCGGGGGTGGCGGTGGAGCTGGTCGCGGGTCTACGCAGAGGAGTGGCTCCGGTGGTGGTCCGCGTTAGCAGCAGCAGCGCGGTCGTGAGACCATGTCCCCTCAGCACCTCCGTGAGTGGTACTCTGGACGCCAGCGGGGTGGGGGTTTTGGTCCGTGCACCTACGTCCTGCGCACCGGCGACCGTGCGGGTGAGCAGTGTGGGGGTGCGCACCCCACCCAGCGCTGCTTTGGCCGCCTGACGGACGCGTGGCGTCACCAGTTTCCGGAGGCGACAGAGATCCCTCGCTGGGGCGATCTGTCTAGGGCGGGTGTTGCCATCTATGATCTTGATTTTGATGCTATCCTTTCTGCCATGTATGCTGTGTCTATTAGTGATGAGGGTGACTGTTACCGGTGTTTCCCGTCCGATCCGGGCATTGAGACTGCTGCTCTAGGTACTGGTGAGGCTACTGCCCTAGGTGCCTGCGACGCTGCTGCTCTAGGTGCCAGTACGCCTGTGTCCGCGGGTACTGGTGAGTCTGCGCTCTCAGGTACTGCGTCGGCTTCGGCCTCCCTCACCTTCACCCTTGACTCTGGGGCTTCTCGCTCCTTCTTTCGGGACCGCACCACGCTCACGCCCCTCAGTCGGCCGGTTGCGGTGTCTCTGGCTGACCCATCTGGGGGTCCTGTCCTGTCTCACTTCTCCACAGTCCTCCCGTGTCCAGCGGCTCCCTCTGGCACCCTGTCTGGTCTCTACCTCTCCTCGTTCTCTACGAACCTGGTGAGTGGTGCTGACCTACAGGATGGGGAGTACACCAGTTCACTCCTGCGCGTCAGCGGGTGACGCACTGCACAGAGGCTAGCACAGGCCGACACCTGGCTACGTTTACCCTTCAGCCGGGGTCGAGCCTATACACACTGACCACTGAGTCTCCTCCAGTTGCTGAGTCTGGTAGGGTAGCTGCATCAGGTCAGGTGTTTGCTGCAGCGTCCAGGTCTGGTCCTGAGTCTGCCCCCTGTTCGTGTCGTCTCCTCTCTCACGAGACTCTCCTCTGGCACCACCGTCTTGGTCACCCCTCTCTGCTTCGGCTGAGAGGCATGGCCTCCCGTCCTCTTGTGTCTGGTCTCCCCCGGTCCCTCCCTCCCCTTCCTCAGGGCCCTGGCCCTACCTGTGTCCCCTGTGTCGAGGGGCGCCAGCGGGCTGCCCCTCACTCCTCCCAGTTTCCTCCGACAGAGGCCCCGCTGCAGACGCTTCACATGGACGTGTGGGGCCCAGCCCGCGTCCGTGGACAGGGTCACGAGCGCTACTTCCTGCTCGTTGTTGACGACTACTCGCGTTACACCGCGGTCTTCCCCTTGCGTCACTGAGGTGCTGATCGACTGGATCCGCGCAGCTCGTCTCCAGCTCAGGCAAAGCTTTGGCTTGGACTTTCCTGTTCTGCGTCTGCACTCGGACAGAGGCAAAGAGCTTTCTTCTGGCCTTCTGAGAGCCTACTGTCGCGCACGAGGCATCCGTCAGACCTTCACGCTTCGGAGTCTCCGCAGCAAAATGGGATTGCTGAGCGCCGCATTGGCATGGTCATGGAAGTCGCTCGTACGTCCATGATGCATGCGGCTGCCCCCCATTTTCTGTGGCTGTTTGCAGTGAGGTACGCGGCGCATCAGATCAACCTCCACCCCAGGGTCTCCAGGCCGGAGACCTCCCGAGCCTTGCTGTGGACGGGGAAGGTTGGCGATGCGTCGGCGTTCCGGGTCTGGGGATCTCGGGCGTTTGTCCGCGACATGTCTACGGACAAGCTGTCCCCTCGTGCTGCTCCTTGCGTCTTCCTGGGGTTCCCCCCTGACGCGTTTGGGTGGCAATTCTACCACCCCACCTCTCGCCGTGTTCTGTCCTCCCAGGACGTCACGTTTGACGAGTCGGTCCCCTACTACCGCCTCTTCCCCTACCGCACTCCGTCCCTCCCCCCGCCGCCGGTTTTCCTTGTACCAGGTCCCCCTCCGGTAGACCCCCTCCCCCCTCAGGGTCTGTCCCCTTCAGGTGTGTCCCAGGTAGACGCAGTCGAGCCTGTTGAGGTCACTGGTGACTCTAGTGCTGCTGAGGGTGCTGAGCCTGGGGGTGCTGATACTGGGGGTGCTGAGCCTGGGGGTGCTGAGCCTGAGGGTGCTGAGA